AGATTCCAGTGTCCCAGAGAAGCTGACATTCACCCTGTAGCTACCTCGCAATCTATGCTTGTTTCTGCCAGACCTTCGGCCCAAATTCCTAACTGATCTTTTGTCCTTGGGATTGGAGCCAAACCCCACCCAAATCTTGAAGACCCTTTCATTAGTCTCCTAAAACATGTCCAAGCCTACTAAGAGTATTTCTATACCCCTAGGGCTTGCTCTGGTCTTGCTTGGCTTATAGAACCCTGTTGGTGGAAGCTACTCTGAGTTCTCTTATCTGATTGCTTGAGCTGAAAGAGAACTGACCTACCAAGCAAATTTTTAATACCCTTTCCCTTCTCTCTGAAAACTTTAACCCCTTGGACCTGAGCTTTCTTGTGTCCTTAATCCTTATCTGAATTCCTTCTCTCTCCTTGAGGATGGATATAGGAAAGGCTTGATGTTAGAGTGAGATTGGGCAGGGTATTTAACTAACTGACCATATGTATTTAACCTCTGTTACCTCCTTTTTTAAAAATAGAGATTGGTTTTCATTGAAGCTTCAGGCAATTTTAGTGCCTTAAATATTCTTTGTTAACATAATGTTTTTAGAAAGCTGAGTGTTAGAAAGGCCCATTTTTAATTTATCAATGGCACCCTTAGTCTTAATATGCTGAAGCATACTTTACTTTTGAGGGCAGGATTAATCTTTTATCAGATGTACCATGGATGCTGTTGGTTTCATTATTTTAGGAAAATATTCTTGTGATTGTTTTAGAATTAATGCTACCCACATATCTTTATTTTCCAATATCTATTCAGAATAGATAAGGAAGATACAAAATAGGATTCACCCATATTAAAGCTAATGCAAAGGAGATGGAAGTTGCTGCTGTTTGAAAAACTAACAAAGGTATTCAGCTTGTTGATTTCATCTTGACTGTGAGGAAAGTGAATATGAAATTAAGCCTATGATAGAGAATATATGGACCTTCTCTTGTAAGCTACAACTTTATGGAACAGTGAAGAAAATTTTAGCACAATTACAAGAAGATAATTTTGTACGTGGAAATTTTTTGGAGGTGAGGGAGACGAAAAAGGAATTTCATTCTGCCCTTCATATATAGCAGGGCTGGGTAGAAATGCCAAAAGCATTGTAACTTGTTTGTAGCACTTGGGCCTCAAGCTTTCACGTGCCTACGAGCCACTTGTTAAAAATACAGATTCTTGGGCTGGCCCTGTGGCATAGTGGTTAAGTTCCCTGTGCTCTGCTTTGGTGGTCTGGGTTCATGTGTTGGATCTCAGGTGCGGACCTATACCACTTGTCAGCCATGCTGTGGCAGCAACCCACATATAAAGTAGAGGAAGATTGGCATAGATGTTCGCTCAGGGCTAATCTTCCTCAGCAAAAACAAAAAAAAATCAAAAAAGTGGATTCTTGGATCTTACTGCTTTTGGCTCTGGGTTTTTAATAAGTTCCTGAGGGGATTCTAATATGTATGGCATTAGTTAAGGTTCTCTAGAGAAACAGAATCAGTAGGAGATGTGCATGTGTGTGTGTGTATAAAGAGATTATTGTAAGGATTTGGCTCACAGGGTTATAGAGGCTGAGAAGTCCCAAAATCTGCAGTTGGCAATCTGGAGACATAGGAAATCTGATGGTATGGTTCTGGTCTGAGTCCAAAGGCCTAAGAACTAGGAGAGCTGATGGTATAAGTTCCAGTCTGAATTTGAGTCCAAAGGTAGGAAACTGATGGCTCTGCTTGAAGATAGTCAGGCAGAATGAGAGAAAGAGAGAGAATTCTCCCTTACTCAGCCTTTTTGTTCTATTCAGTCCTTCAACAGATTGGATGAGGCCCACTCACATTGGGGAGGGCAGTCTGCTTTACTCAGTCTTCCGTTTCCATTGTTAATCTCCTCCAGAAACACCCTCACTGACATACTCAGAATCATGTTTAACCAAATATCAGGGCCCCTCGTGGCGTAGTCAAGTTGATACATAAAATTAACTATTACACATATCAAAGTTAAAAGCCACTGGTGTAAAAATGTCCACGTCCACCCCACCTCTTTCTTTTCTGAGCAAGATTTGTCCTGAGCTAACATGTGCTGCCAATCTTCTTTTTGTGTATGAGCTGCCACCACAGCATGGCCACTGACAGATGGGGGTTGTAGATCTGCACCCAGGAACTGAATGGACCACCAAAGAGGAGTGCACCAAACTTAACCACTAGGCAACAGGGGCTTGCTTGCCCTCTTCCCCCTTTTTTAAAGACTTAATAACATGTACTAACTATAACAGGAAAAATAAAGCCACTGGTATAATGTCATTTAAAAAAATCAATATATTAAAAATGCAAATATACCCTTGGTCTAAAAATAAATAAAAGGAAATAAAAACATGATGGAATAGGGGGATAGAGAAAGAAGAAACATTCATTCATTTGTTTAAATATCGAATTCTTCCTGCTAAGTGTCAGAGACTGTTCACGGTGCTGATGCTGTGGAAGTGGGGCTGGGCGGGTGATCAACCTGGTTAGAATAATCAACTGTTCTAGTTGGCTTAGGGTTTGAGGGGTTTTCCCAGCTGTGGGACTTTTGGTGCTATGATTGACACTGTCCAAGGCAAACCAGAATGGTTGGTTATCTTGGTAGAGGGGGAAAACATGAGTTCTTGCCTTCTTGGAGTTTATATTCTGCTGGGGGAAGACAGACAACAAACTAATAAGTGAATAAGTATGTAATGTAATCAGGTAGTGATAAATGTTATGAAGAAAATCAAAGTAGGATGAGACAGAGAGTGCAGAGAGTGACTGGGGGAGTTATTTGGTGTTTTTTAGTTGGTGTGGTCTGTGAGAGTCTTGAGAGGTGGCATTGAAACAGAGACAGGAATGAAGTGGAGGAGTGAGCTGTGTGAACATCTAGAGGGGATACATTTGGGCAGAGGGAAGAGTAAATACAAAGACAGAGACAGACTTAGCATGCTTAAGGAAGACTTTGAAACCGTTTTGGCTCGAATAAGTGAGAGGGGTGGAGGTATGGGAGCAATGAAAGAAGTTGAAGTCTGATTTGGGTCAAATTATCCAGGTATATGTAATCCTAATTATACCTTTATGGGTCCTGGTAAGGAGTTTTGGTTCTAAGTGTGATGAGAAACCCTTGGAGAGTTTGGAATAAGAGACTGACATTAATTAGGTCTTGTGGATGCTATGCGAAGAATAAACAATAGGGGAACAAGAGTGGAAGCAGGGGCAGCAGTTAGAGGGCTATTTCCATAGTTCAGGTGGTAGTGGTGGTAGAGGTGAGAAGTAGCTAGCTTTAGGATATGTTTGGAAGGACTGGCAATATTTCCTAGTGGACTGGATGGTATTTTGAGTGAACAGTTTTTGGTTTGGACACCTGGGTGAATAGCGATGCCATTTATTGAAATGGGGAACCCTGGGGAAGAGCAGACTTGTGTTGGAATATAACGATTTCTCATTTTTGTGTGTTAAATTTGAGATGCCTATAGAAATCCAAGGTGAATGTGTAGGCAGTTGGGTATAGATGTTTGTAGCAGAATGCAGAGGTCTGGGCTGGAGATATGAACCTGAGAACCGTTAATATACAGTTAGTATCTAAAGTCATGAGATGAGATTAGATCACCTACGGAATGGAGTTAGACAGAAAAGAGAAATGGGCTGAGAACTGAGATGAGATAGACTCAGCAAAGTGACTAAGAGCCATCAGTAAGGAGGGAGAAAATCCGGGAGAGTATGGTGCAAGTGAGTGAACTGTTTCAAGAAGGATAACCAAGTATATCAGACGCTACTGTGAGGCTGGGATGAGAATCTATTTGGTGATTTACTTTGATAACAAGGTGACTGTTGAATGGTGGGAACAAAGCCTGATTAGAGTGAGATCAAGAGAGGCTGCCATAACCAAATACCTCAAACTGAGTGGCTTAAACAACAGAAATTTGTCTCACAGTTCTGGAGGCTAGAAGCCTGAGATCAAGATGCCAGCAGGTCCATGTTCCCCCTGAAGGTGAAGGATCTGTTCCGGGCCTTTTTCCTAGCTTCTGCAATTTTGCTGGCAACTTTTGGCATGCCTTGGCTTGTGGCACCATGACACTAATCTTCACATGGTGTTCTCCCTGTGTATGCATCTGTGTTCCAATTCTTCCTTTTTATAAGGATGCCAGTCCTATTGGATTAGGGGCCCAGCTTACTCGAGTACCACTTCATCCTAACTTAACTATTTACGTCTGCAATGGGCCTATTTCCAAATAACTTCATATTCTGAGTTACTAGGGGTTAGGACTTCAAAACATGATTTTTGATAGAACACAGTTGAACCTATAACAATGTGGTGTATCCATACAACGGAGTATTATTTGGCAATAAAAAGGAATGAAGTAGTGATGCATGCTACCACAGATGAACCTTGAAAACATTATGCTAAATGAAAGAAGCTAGTCATAAAAGACCACAAATTGTATAATTTAAATTATAAAAATTGTCGAGAGTGGTTAAATCCATAGAGACAGAAAGTTGTCAGTTGTTGGGGGCAGGGGGTGGAATAGGGGAGTGACTGCTGATAGGCATGGGGTTTCTTTTTAGGGTGACAAACATATTCTGAAATTAGATATTGGTGATGGTTGCAGAAACTTGTGAATATACTGAAACCCACTGAACTGTACCCTTTGAGAGGGTGAACTTTGTAGTATGTGAATTATATGTCAATAAAAAATACATAGAGAGAGAAAGATGTGAAGAAGTGGAGGCAGATAGTGTCAACATATTTGAGATGTTTCTGTGAAGAAGTAAAAAAACTTGGGGTGGCAGAAGGGGATGTGGGGTCAAGGGAGGATTTTGTTTTTCAAGCTACAGGAGATAATGCAGCCTATTTGTATAGTAATTCAGATGATCCAGTGGAAAGGGAAATAATAATGATGCGAGGTAGGGCAGAGGGAATTTGGAGGAGCCAAATCCTTGAATTCACTGGAATGCCATCTTGAATACCTTTATTCACATCTCTTCCTTCCCTAGGTGACAGATCAGTCGGTGAAAGCGTTTGCTGAGCACTGTCCCGAACTTCAGTATGTTGGCTTCATGGGTTGTTCGGTTACTTCTAAAGGAGTCATTCACCTAACCAAGGTAGGTACCGTGGCTACATCTCATTAGTGTTTCCGAGTATCATTCATATCAATGCGGCAATATTGTTAAATGTACTTGGATGAGGACTAGGCAGACTATTGTAGTGTACTAGTGTTTGATAAAGTTAACAGTCAGTTTAACACAACAATACCAAACCTATCCTTTCTGAAATGGGACACTCAGTTAAACTTACTGAGTTAAGTAAGTTAAGCTTACTTTTTTGCTTTTTCATTGCTAATGACTATGAAATATATGCATTAGAGAAACTCATATATATGACAAGAATTATTTAAATGTTAATAATGTCTTGCAGTTAGAAGATTTTTTTATTACTGTTTTCACTGCTCACATATCATTAGGTCCTCTGAGCATTTGGCTTTTAAGAAGTAAATATGGTCAGTGCATACGGTTAAGCCGAATATGTAAGGTGAAAAGAGAGGTGTATGTATGTCAGAAATTAACCTTATATCTCAGAGAGTTCACTTATATACCAAATATATGAAATCTCATATTTTAGCAACACAGAAAATGCCAGGTCCTTTCTAAGCGCCCACTCAAGTGTCATCTCTACTGCTTTCAAGAGTTCTAAAATAAAGAGCTAATTCTTACACACATGTAGTGGAAAACTGGCTACTATAAAATTTACCTGTGTATTATCTGAAATTTGTGACTGCATAGATTTTAACTCTATTATCTAGTACTTAGGAGCATGGATGTGAGTCTTGCCTTTTCCACTTAATAGCTGCGTAACCGTTTCATTCCACCTTCCTTCATTTCACTACTATTAGAAAAGTGCACTTTGGCAGCACAATGCTAAAATAAAACAGGTAAGATCTCAGGTCTCTTTGGGCCTGGTCTCTTCAGGTCTCTTTAAGTTTACAGTTTAGTGGGAAATAATATTTTTCTTTCCTCCTTAGGAAAAGAGCAAATGTTGACAAGTCACGTAGGACTAAGGCAATAAGGCACAGTGGGTAGGACCCTGGGCTCTGTTGTCAGCTTGGGTTTGGATCTTGGCTCTGCTACTTATTAGCTAAGTGGGCAAGTTATTTTACAAGTTGTATTATTGAAGTAATATATGCAAGGTGCTTGCCTTAGTATCGAGATCACAGCAAGTGCTAAGTAAATGTTACCTACTTATATTAAAATAGATGCTATGATATCTAAATTGCTGGAAAATCAGAGCAAACTTTGGGAAAAAATATCAAATCTCTGTTCTAGTCTAGTGTATCTAAAACAGAGCTTGTGATTGTCCTGTGTCTTCAATGACTGATCAGCTTTAATTGTATTTTGAGGATCAGAGCCTAAAGCTAATGGAGAGGATAGGCATGTTATTCTCAATTATTGCTCTATTAAAACCTCTTAGTGTAACCAAGACCACATGTAACCGTAATTTTTTATTCATTTCCTATAACCGTGGCCTGAACATCTTGGTAGATGAATGTTTTTGTAGTCACATCTAAAAGCTGTTTATAGTGTAGAGTAGAAATGCCTTTGGATGAACAGATTGTGCACAACAAGTGTTATAATGACCGTATGTGGGATTTTTACGATCACTCGAAATTGTACTCATTAAAGACAAAACAAGACTTATTAGATCAGTAAGTGCTTCCCTGAGCATTTTGAGATGGCCAAAAATTATGGTACACTGGTACTTGAAAGATCAGAATTATTCTCTGTGACAAAAAAGCAGCTACAGCATATGTCTGCGATAGAAGGCTCAATTTGCTGAGAAGGTGCTTCTGAAGATTCTAGGCCAGGATTGGTGGTTTGGCCTGTCAACAACATAATCTACTGGATTCTTATCAAAGCTGATCCACAAAGTTTTGAGCATCATCTTTGTTGTTCAACCAAGTATTTGCTTTGATGAGAAGACTAGTTTGTGGTATAATATTGATTAGTTTCCTGGATTCAAGTAAAGGCAAGATAGCATTTTAAACACACATAGTGGGGCCTGCCCCGTGGCTGAGTGGTTAAGTTCACGCGCTCTGCTTCGGATGTCCAGGGTTTCACTGGTTCGAATCCTGGGCACAGACATGGCACTGCTTGCAGGCCATGCTGAGGTAGCATCCCACATGCCACAACTAGAAGAACTCACAACTAGAAATCTACAACTAACTATGTGCCAGGGGACTTTGGGGAGAAAAAGGAAAAATAAAATATTAAAAAAAAATCCAAACAAACAAAATGCATAGCTTTTGTAAAGCTATTTTAATTGTTTTATCTCTTGAAAAACCAAAGATAGAACTCAGGTTTTCACAAAATAAAAGCTTTTTTGTTAAAATATTTACATTCTGACAGTTTTTCATACTAAGACATTACATAAAATATAATTTATATTCACAAAATGTTTAAGTATATAAATGCTCCTAGGCAGTTGTGTTACCCTTATTATCATCATGATATATAGATTGTAAATACTTATTGTTATTATGGTATATAATTTTAAAGTAAATGATTAAGAAGATGTGAGATGCAGAGTGTTGACAGCTATTGGTCTAAATATATTTAATTTTATATGATTTAGAAAATCTCAACTTATCACTTCACTAAGTCTGTGGCTCTAAGTTGCTTGTAGAGGCAAGTGCTGTAAAATCTCTGTGCCTTAGTTTCCTATCTATAAAGAGATATGCCTGCATTAGGTGATCTGTCTCTAGAATTTCTTGCACCCAGAAGAATTGATAAATGTAAGAATCTTTGACCTGGAAGGAGGTCATCTGAGGGGCTGTCACTGAAACTAAGAAATGTCAACTCTTTAGTAAGTTAGGAAGAAAAATTGGCGGTTTGTGATATCTTAGATTATTATACCAGGGGAAAGAAGACAGAAGATTGGGAATAGATGGAAGAATATTGATATCCTATTACTATGGTCCCTTGGATTTAATTTTACTTTGATGTTCTCAGTCTTGGCTGGACCCTTTTGCAATATTTATTGATGACACACCCTTAGTCTTCAGATAGATCCTGCTAATATCAAACAATGTTGGAATGGGAAACCTTCCTTCTAAGGTGCTGTGACTGTAAATAAGTCTAGAATTAGCAATGACTGAGTGCAGAGAGGTTGAGAAGATAAAGTCAGGTTTACTGTACTGTGTTTGGAAACTTAGAGATCTATATTTAGGAAGCAGTGATAAGAACTTTTTGAAGTCTCTATTTATTTGCCACTAAAGAGACTAGTAGGAACATGTCAAAAGGACCCAAAAGCCAACATGAAGTGACTCTCACTGGCCTAAGTTGGGATACTTTGAGCATGAAAAATGAAAATGGCTGCAATGGATTAAAACAAACCAAATGTATAAAAATCATGAGTTCATAATGATATATAAAAAACAAAACAAAACTGGATTTCTTCTTCCAGCTAAGATGGGGTAATAGGGACCAGATTTACTCTCTTCTCTGAAGCAACCAGAAGAAACAAGATAAAATGTATGAAACAGTGGTCTTCAAGATACTGGATGTTAGACAACCAAGGACAGTGATCCCTGAGATTCAAGAAACAAGCAAGAGGAGCCCTGTGATTGCCTCTGTCTAATGCATTGAAAGAGTTTCCAGCTTACAGCACAAGGAGGGATAACCCAGGCAAAACTCAGCAGACTATCTGAGTTGAGGCAGAATAGAAAGTCCAAGGTGACTGAGACAGCCAGAGTTTAAAGGATGGAGTACTGGGGTGGAGAGAACTGCATAGAAAATCCCAGAGATCTGTGGGTGATCTCCTTGGGCCTCCAATCCTAAGCAACCCATGAGTAAAGAAGAGATCCAAGAGAAATGAGAAAGTATTTTGAACTGAATGAGAGTGAAAGCTCATCAGATTTAGTGTGATGCTGCTAAGGCACTCCTTCATAAAATAATAGCACTAAACACCTATACAACAAAAAAAGAAAGGTCTCAAATCAATGGCCTTTGCTTCTACTTTATGAAATTTGAAAAAGAAAAGCAAATTAAACTCAGAGTAAGCAGAAGAAAGGAAATAATAAAGATCAAAGTGAAACTCAATGAAATGGAAAACAAAAAGAAAAGAAAATTAATGAAACCAAAAGCTGATTCTTTGATAAAATAGATAAATCTCTGCTCAGACTGACTTAAAAAAGGGGCAGAGAGAGAGAGGGAGAGAGAAAGAGAGAGGAAGAAGACACAAATTGCCAGTATCATGACTCAGACGAGGAACATAACTACAGATTTGACAGATGTTAAAAGGGATAACAAGGGAATATTATGGACATCTTTATGCCTATAAATTCAACAAATTAGGTGAAATTGAAAATTTATTTGCAAGACACAAACTACCAAAGCTCACTTAAGAAGAAAGAAATAACGTGAATACCCCTCTATCTGGTAAAGAAATTGCATTTTCAGTTATAAACCTTCCCTCTAGTGATACTCCAGGCACAGACTGCTTCACTGGTGAATTCTACCAAATATTTGTTATATTTAAAAAACTTTATCAGTAAGAGACACATACTTGAGAATTTACTAGTGAAATGACAGAATATTAGGGATTTGGTTTAAAATATTACAAATGGGATAAAAAGAGAAAAGTGGATAGGCCAAAAAAGGAGACAAAAACTGCAAAATATAGATAATTGAACTGAGTTATAAGCCTTCGGGGTTCATTATGCTATTCTCATTACTTTTGTTTATATTTTAAAATTTCCATAATAATAAAAAAAGCTTTTAAGGGGTCAAAAAGTTAAAGATGTTGATATTAATGTAACATGATAAAATCATACTCTTCAAAATCATACTTTTTAAGAATGCATGATAATATGGGAAATACTCAGGATAATAATAATAATATATTAACATAAAATATTAATTTTAAAGTTAGTTGAAGAAATAGGCCTATGGAGTCTGAAATGTCAAAGTGGCAAGTTATTTTTACATGTAGTTGGAGTGTAAACCTTAGAAATGTTGGGGGTTCATAAGTTTAATATCACAGATCCATTATGAATTGATTTATACCAGATCAGTTCAAATGATTTCAATTAGTAGTCAGGAAGGTTTTA